ATCCATAGAGGTTGGTGACACTATATTTACAGGGCACGGGTGCATCCACTCTGTGTTTGGGTCCAAACTTTAGACGACCAACCCAAGCGGTTGGGCTCTATTACACCTTCCAACAGGATCAGCACTCTGGACAGCGCCTTTAAAGTTTGGACTCAAAGCGAGTGGAAATCCACCAGGCTGCAAAATTGGGGTCACCAGCTTCATGTGAGTGTGAAGGAGAGCAAGCTGGGTCTTCATTCATTTACTTAAAATATTTTTCCCCGCCTTTCTCCTTTAAACGAACCAAGGACCCAGGTACAAATTAGCTTCTTGCTCAGACGTGCCCTAAACCTAAGAAGCTAATCGGCTCTTCTTAGGGCCTTCTCTATGCAGATTTCACGCCCTTACACCCGAACCGCCTAACTCAATATCATCTGCATGAGCTTTCCAAATGTCGGCTGCCCACATATTTTGGACTACAGCTCCCATCATCCCCAGCCAACTTGGACAGTGGTTGATGGGGTCTGTAGTCCGGCTATGGGCCCCTTTCAGTTTGAGGACTGCTAGCTGATGGTCACTTAGAAGCAGTGTTCCCGGGACTGAGCCAAGGGTCTGGCAAACGTAGAGATCTAAACGGGTCAACGTACGTAAAGATTACCCAGTGTGTGCTGCGGGGATTAGAGTGACTCTAGGAGTCTGGAGAAGTGGGTTCGAATCCCCATTCAAGACATGGAAACTCACTGGGAGAGTGGAGCTGGAAAACCAGTTAAGAGGTCTAGCTAACAGTAAGAGAACCAGCCAAAGTGCCACGACAAAAGTAAACGAGGTTTTGAGTGCCTGTGGCACCTGAGGTTGGGAGTTCGAATTCTCCACTGTGCCTCCTTGACTGGGGCTGGAGAGGATGACCCATAGGGCCCCTTCCAGGCTTGTGGTTCCAAGATTATTATTATCATCATCATCATTTCCTTCTGGCCATGAGCCCTACAGCTAGACTGAGCCCCAAGATACAGCGAATGACAGGTAGGCGTGCATGTAGCAAGCCACAGAGAGCAAGCTATGGTGCTGGGTGTAAAATGGCGCAGGACGAACCTGGTGGTGTAATGGTTAAACTGCAATCCTGCAGTTAAGCCTCTGCTCACAGCATGAGTTCAATCCCAACAGATCCAGGTAGCCGGCTCAAGGTTGACTCGGTCTTCCATCTTTCTGCGTTTGGTAAAACGAGTTCCCAGCTCGCTGTGGTGAGGGGACACAAAGTGCTCCTTGCACAATTATGTTGTGAACAATCCAGAGAAGAGCTCTAGAACTATGGGGTGGTATATAAATGAATAATAAATAAATAAGTGGCAACCTTTCAGGGGCTTCAAAACACATCCTTGCTCTTGTTAACGGTCAGTTTACGTCTGATGATGTTTAGAATGAAAATGATCAGAAACGGTGACTTTTTGTCTAAAGGAGAAATGAGTCCATGACATTTATCTGGCTGAAACCAGAAACAGCAACCAGCAGGAAGATTGATGGCTCAGGCAGAGCGTTGAGCAAGTTACTTTTTTTGCCTTGTTCTCATTGAGTACAAAATGCCACAATCCCCAAATCCACCTATTCAGTACGGTTCTTAATACCACCAATTTGCCTCTCAGGGATGTCCATGTCTCCCGTCGCCCCAGAAAAAAGCCATTAACACACACTATCCCCCTGGGTGAAAAAAATCTATCCACGGCAGGCCATGGAAACGGAGGACCAGTTTCCTTCCCTTTGCCGGAGTGGGGTGGGGGAAGGCAGCTGACGGCTCCCCAAATCTCAGACACCTGGCGCAGGTGAATTACGAGCTGCCAGGTTGCATCTCTCCCACTACAACATCTTGATGTCTAACTGGAACCACCCACAGTACGAACAAAAGAGACCATCAATTTTAAAAGAGCACCAGGAGGGAAGCAGGTGAACGCATCCAGCAGCTGAACGCCCCCTGAAAGGCACAAAACGCAGTTCTCCCTCTCGGTTCTCCCCCTCCCTCATCTAATATATTCACAGTTTCTGTATTAATTCCAGACACTTCCCGGGCCAGCCCTACCCTTAGGCAAAGTGAGGCCAAGGCTTCAGGCTACCAGACGCTTGGGACAGAACTTTGAAAAACAGTGGACTGCAAGTCCCAGTCAGGGTGGGGTCAGACCTATGAACTTGGAGCAACTTTTAATTACTTACCACGGAGATCGCTGGGTGTCCCTCCGGGACCATTCCCGGTGGAGAGGGGTGCTGGGGTTTCCCACTGATCGAGGCCACTCCCTTTTATGGGGCACTGATGGTTCATTTCCAGTGCATGCGATCGCTGGGATCAAACCAAAGCAGAGCCCACTGCTTTCAATGTCCCATTCTCCTTCAGTGGCTTAAGAAAACAACTTTAGTCACTTCATGAGTGACTAAAGAGAGGCCCGGAAGGAAAAAAAAACAAGAAATCGGGCTTTCTCAGTGGTGGCCCCTCGGCTATGGAACACCCTACCAACTGAAATTCGGCTGGCACCCTCGCTGGGTGTTTTCAAAAGCCAGTTTTAAAAACTTGGCTATTCAAGCAGGCCTTCCCTCCAGTCAATTAACTTATCCGTGTTTTTCTTTTCTTAAGCTATGTCATCTTGGTAATGTGTTGTTTGAATTAATCACTGCAACTGAATTTTTTGATGATTTTTAAATACATGTTATATTGTTTTGTTTTTATCCATGTAAGCCGCCCCGAGTAGACATTGTCTAGAGGGGTGGGGTACAACCCTACTGACTCTTTTCTGAAGCCGAGTCACTAGGGGAGGCAACCACCAAAAATTCTGATAGATAGATAGATAGATAGATAGATAGATAGATAGATAGATAGATAGATAGATAGATAGATAGATAGATAGATAGATAGATAGATAGATAGATAGATAGATAGATAGATAGATAGATAGATAGATGGGCGGATGGACGGACAGACGGACAGACGGACGGACAGACGGACAGACGGATGGATGGATGGATGGATGGATGGATAGATAGATAGATAGATAGATAGATAGATAGATAGATAGATAGATAGATAGATAGATAGATAGATAGATAGATAGATAGATGATACTAGGAAATTAAAAACTTTCTCTGCTCCTCTGGGGAGGGGCAGAGGCAGGAAGCATATTTTTTTTAAAAGCCTATCAGGGCAACACTGATGCGCTCTAGCCGTTGTGTCTCTCTCTTGTGGTATCTCCAAATTGTGCAGCATGTTATGAATGGCGGTGCTTCGGGCTGACGAATTGATCTGTCCTCAGGACTTCTCTTGGAAGTGACGTCGACCCAGGAAACGAGAGAGCCAGATGGTGTGCAAAATATTTATTCACATTTCTCTCCCCCACCCCACCCTCCATCACATTTCGGATCTGGGTAGTGCATTTTCTTCGAGGAAGCTCAGTTTCGCTACCCCACCCCACCCCACCCCACCCGCCCTCTTCCATTCTTCCACCTCACACATGCTTGGCCCCTGCCTCCCCACAGACGGGGGTCGAGGGCTTTTCAGCAACACGATACGGCAAGATGGAGGGGGTGTCATAAGGCCATGTTCGAGAGAAACAAGCTCTGCGGAGCCCCAAGGTGCAGGTAAAAAAGAAATCCAGATTAAACCCCCCCCTCCACCCTTTTCATGCTTCCAAAACAAGACCTCCTTTACTGAAAACCAGGATTGTAGCCTCCTACGATAGCCAGTTTAGGAGCTGAAACACACACGGACACCCCTTTCCAAATGGTGGCATGAAACCAATGGATGCCCCTTCCCTAGAGGTGGCGGCTGCTTGGCCGTAGAGCGGTTTTGATCCGTGTTGGCGGATTGAACACTGGAAACGGGAATCTGAAGGAGCAACTTTTTCCCCAAGTTCTGGAGTGGTTTTTCAATGCCGCCCGTTTCCAACAAGCCAACTCAAATTATTATTCATCCCCTTACTGGTGCCGGCCCAGATGTTGGACAGAATGAGGGCGCCTGGCAGAGGTTTGTGAAAGAGGCACGCTTCAACCTCAAACAGGACAGATGGGTAACTGTTTTGCTACTGTACGCCCTGGTAGGGTCTGTTACCCAGACTCAGCCCTTGGAGATCATCTCAGCCAAGAAGGTGTTACACTGGCCATCTAGCAGGTACAAGCCCTTGGTTGCCTCGCTGTGTTTTTCCATTGAGAAACATCAGAAAGATGGAACTATTGTTTTAAAGTTGTGTGGGAAATCCTTCTCTCTCTCTCTTTGGGTTTGGAATGGATCTCCTCAGCTCCTGCCTTCATACTGTAACCACAATTTGTAGGATTTCCCCACATAGACACATCAACCAACAGCGAATCTAGAAGGTTGTCCATCTCTGACGGTAGACCAAGCCCTGCTCTAGAAACCAGCTTGCAAACCCCAACCCTAAGCCTGCACAGCACTGACTGTTCAGTCACTGTTCCGTCAGGACCCAACAGGAGGCTTGGTGACGCATGAGAGAGGTGGGAGAAGGGAGAAGCAGGAAATAAGCATCTCAACCATGTTGACACGGCAGAGATCTTTGGAGTTAACGTTACATTTTGGACCCTGCTTTACGACTAGAATATCTGTAGCAGATGAACAGAGATAGGAAGCTGTCTTGTATGAAATCACACCACTGGACCATCGAGGTCACTGTTTTGACCCCGTTATCTTGATTGCCAGGACTTCAGGGAGGGGAGATGCCAGGGGCCAAAGGATGAAAAACGCCATGCCTGTCAACACAGCCAGCTCCCATTTCTTGTTCATCCGTCTACAGAGGAAACCCAGCTGACTCTCCAACCCTCATGAAGATGGCAAGCTTCGAGGACAAAAGGCGTGATCCCACCAAAAGACATGGCTAAAATTGAGAAACAGAAACACAGAAATGGTCCCCTAACCCTTGTCTGCTAGCTAACGGCCAATGGGAAGCCTGTACAAACCAAGACAAAGCGGGGATGCGAGAAACACAGCAAAAAAGGGTGTTTTTTTTAAAAAAGGAGGAGTGGGGTGAGGATTTTTAAAAAAGAACCACGAAACACTCCAGAGAAGAAGGGAAGGTTTGAGGGCGTCTGGAGCATCATTATCATGGAGAGCCTGTTAAGCAGGACCAACCTCTGCCCAGCGCTTGGGGGGGTTAGGGGTCACGAAGGGAACTAAAAGGACAGGATCGAGGGCTACGCAACCCCACCGTTTCCCGTTTCCCCCACCCCCTAGGAATCACGACCCTGCGTGTCTACAAAGGAATTGCTGAGCACGCACTTGCTAAGGAATATTTTTGTTTCTTTCCGGGAACTGAGGACTCGTTCTAGAAGTGGGGTTTAAATGTCGGGGGAGCAGGGGGGGGAAGAAAGGAGGCAATTTGCTCCTTTTCGGGCTCTCAACTGCCCCCCGCGGCGATCCTGCTTTTCTGCAAGACTCCTAGTGCAGTTTTGGGGTGTGTGTGTGTTTTTGGCATTCGGCGTTTCAGAGACGCAGCCTGCGGCGCATGCGCTGCGCTCCTGCATTTGTGCGCGCCGGGGCCAGCCCAGCCCCCCCTTCCTCCCTCCACCCCACCCCCAGTGAAATCTGCAAATTTTGGCACTTCCAGGATAGGTATTTGCAGAGAGAACTGGGGCCGGGCGGGGGTGCTACGGGGGAGGTGGGATCTGTGCCCCGAGAAGGTCGTAGGCGAAGATGTTCCAGAAGACCGCAAAGACCAAGAAGGTGGCGTAGGAGAGGAGCACCACCCACCAGCCGCACTGATCCTGTAGGTTTTCCTCGTAGCTGCGGAGAATGGTCAAGCCCATGCTGATGCCGACGATCGCCCCTGCCAGGTGGGCCATGAAACTGGGCTGAGGACCTGAGGAGGGCAAAGGGGGGGAGAAACGCAGCCAAACCGCCCGGCCCACCTCGGAGCTCACTGCAATTGAGGAGAGCAGAGGGAGAGGGAAAGAGGGACAAAATACAAAGGATGAGCATCGATCGCATTTCGGAAACAATCCATTCCCATTTCTGTTTAAAAAATTCCAACCCAGTTTGCAAATCCATTATTTGAACCCCGAAACAACACATCCTGCAGCGGTACGTTCTTGGGAAGAAAAGCACGCTGTTTATATACCACCCCATAGCGCCTAAACCACTCTCTGCGTAGTTTACAATTTAATTCTGCAGGTCCAAAATTGGCCCGCCACCAATGAGCTGGGGGTACTCAATCTAGTGACCCTCAGAAGGATAGAAGGCTGAGCGAACCTTGAGATGGGATTGAACTACCTGGGATTGAACCCAGTTTGTGAGCAGAGTTTTGGCTGCAGTACTGCAGTTGAACCACTGCACCACGAGGCCCAGTAAAGAAAAATAACAATATTCCTTGTTATTAGCTGTTTTTCGTCACCTTTAAATTGTCTTTCAATTTTTACGAGTTTGTGACTTGGCCAATTAATCAATGCACTGGAAAACAAACAAACAATCAAAAATTGAAATACCTTTTTTTTTGGCACTGATGGGCAAGAAATTTGAAGACATGCCCCACCGTAAAGAAAGGAGTACGCCAGCTAAGCTTCACACAGTTAGCTTTCGGCAGTTGCATTGAGACACCTTCCAAGCTCTCTCTCTCCCCCCCAGCCCCCAAAAGAGAAAAGAGAAAAGGGCTGAAAGGATTTGTCCGCCATCCAATTTGATCTGGGCCTTGGGGAAAATGGAGGTGTGAATTTGCTACCTTGCACCCCCAAACTGAAACTGGCTGTTGTATATTGCTACAAACCAAAATTCATAGAATCCTAGAATTGTGCAGTTGGAAGGGGCCAATAAGGTCATCTAGTCCAACCCCCTGCTCAAGGCAGGAATCCCATTCAAGACAGAGGGTGGTCCAATTTCCTCTTGAAGGCCTCCAACGTTGGAATGCTCACCACCTCCCCCTGAGGTCATGGGTCCCATTGTCGTACTGCTCTAACAGTTGAGAAGTTTTTCCTGATAGTTCGCCTTTGGTCCAAATCTGGTGGATTCAGTGATTTGAGATTTGTCTGAAATCTGGTGCTCATCTCCAGTTGAGTGCACTCATGTTCCCAAGGTCTTCTACCCCTCTGGAGGCATCATTCCCCAACCCCCTTCAGCCATCTCCCTGTTGCCCCTTTCCTCTTTTCTCCTGCGCGGCCCAATATACGGGGCCATGAAACGCAACGAAGAGGCAGAATTGGGAAACCGGAGATGCAGGTGGGCAACAGGTACAGGGGCCGGGCGATTCCCTCTAGGCATAACAAGCCGTGACAAGCTTTGGAGAAGCTTACATACCAAAGGGCAAACTCAATTTCGAAAGATCCCTCAGGGACGATGGGCAGGGGCCAAAGAGAAAGGCTAAGAAAGACCACCGTATTTTATCTGAAAGTTATTCCTGACATCCAAAAACACTTGAGTGGAGGCATGTTGACCATTTAGAATGGGGAAATACCATACATAAAAGTTAGAAAGCCACCAAACTGTGGTGTGGCCATGCCTGGGGAACCCCAGGTATTTGGCCCCAAAGGGGGCCAGATTTAGCATCACAGCCTGAGATTCCCCACCTACCCCCCCCCCGACTCCAAGGAAGAAGATACTTACTGCACACCAAGGCCAGCACCATACGGAGTAGCTTATAGGGGCAACGCATTCCTGCCCAATTCTATAATGGAGAGATAAGACGAGAGTTGTTCCAGTTTTTGGGGAGAGACCCACAGATTTTTTCCCCCATGCCCTTCATCTAACCTCCTCCCTCCCTTCCTCTACTTCGGGAATTATAAAAGCAGACACAGCCATCAAGTTAAACCAAGACAGGGACGCTGCTGCATCTGCATCTTAACACACAGAACTCAACGGCTTTGTTGCTTTCCCTGGTTATCCAGGATCTTTTGAAATTAAATGCAATACAAGGGTAGAGGTCCCTGGAATGCCAGATGTTGACTACGACTGTCCCCATCATGCTGCACCCTTCTTCAGAAATATATATTTCGAGGATTTTTCTTGTAATGTTTTAAATATTTTCAGACTGCAGGGAAGTGAATCCGTGGATACTGATCCTGCGGATAAGCGGGGTCCTACTGTATCAGCTCCTGACAACCTAGCCATTCAAAAGCATGTAAAAATGCGAGTTGATAACTAGGTACCACCTCGATGGGAAGGTAGCAGCATTGTGTGTCTAGTCGCGCTGGCCACGTGACCACGGAAACTGTCTACAGACAAACACTGGCTCTATGGCTTGGAGATGGGGATGAGCACCGCGCCCTAGAGTTGGACATGACTAGACAATTGATCAAGGGGAACCTTTACCTTTACCTCTATCAGGAAAGGGGGCGTGGCTGCCATGCATCCCAAAGAGCCACGTTCCACGGGAAGGTGTACTTTTATAAATAAATAGGTAAGCCTCCCGTCAAAGGAATCAAGGTGCGGTCAAGAGAAGGAGGGCCAGAATCTCACATGAACGTCCGTTCAAAGTTACACCACCCATTCCCCTCCCCCGCCGGCTCTCACCATGACAACGTTGGCCAGGTGAGCGGAGCAAAGAGCGTAGACACCTCCCGAGCCTCCGACCAAAGGTGCTCGCATGTCTGTGATGGAGACGGTCAGAGAACCTGGAGGAAGATAATGGGGGGGGAGAGGAAGTAAAGGAGGAAGAGGAGCCTTCAGCTTGTTTACTTTTCAGATTTATATGAAGGGAAACAATCAGATCATCATGAACCAATGCTGTGGACATTTCCAGATCTCATGAGGTTCTCCATTCCTTCTTGAAAGGCTGCTTTCTCTTGGGCTTTAAATCCTCCCCTGTCCGCTTTGGAGAGCATTTGAAAGGCCTTGCCATCAACTCTGGCCTGCCCAAGGTCAAAAGGACAGTGGCAACGACAACAACGACAACGACAACAACGGAGGGGCCCTTCCTACAGCTGTCTCTTTAGCTGCTGTTTGGCAACGACAACAACAACAACAACAACAACGGAGGGGCCTTTCCTACAGCTGTCTCTTTAGCTGCTGCTGAGCATCTGTTGAAGACCTGGATTTGGAAGGGTTTTGGCCGGTGGTTCCCATACCTGGGTCCCCAGATGTTCTTGGACTACAACTCCCAGAAGCCTTCGCCACAAGTTGTGTTGGACAGGATTTTTGGGAGTTGTAGTCCAACAACAACAACAACAACAACGGAGGGGCCTTTCCTACAGCTGTCTCTTTAGCTGCTGCTGAGCATCTGTTGAAGACCTGGATTTGGAAGGGTTTTGGCCGGTGGTTCCCATACCTGGGTCCCCAGATGTTCTTGGACTACAACTCCCAGAAGCCTTCGCCACAAGTTGTGTTGGACAGGATTTTTGGGAGTTGTAGTCTACAAACTTTTGGGGAACCAAGGTTGGCAACCCCTGTCTTAAGGCACTCACTCCTTTAATGGCTGGTTTGAACTCTTTGCTGGGTGTGTGTGTGTCATTTTCCAGATTAATTGCCAGTGTAAATACGTACACGTTGAGTTCTTTGATCTGAAACATTCATTCGATCGGCTGTCCACCCCACCGCAGATTTTTCTGCCTGCAGGGCAGGGCCTAAACCTCAAAGATGTCGTCAGAAACGGGTTGGTGAGGATCCGTAGGAAGTTTTTCTTCCTCCTCCTCAAATGATCTAAGCAAACCCTTGAAATGATTGTGAAATTCATTTGAAGGCCACCATTTTGTGCATGTTTTCCTAATATAAAGCCAGTGCTGGAAATAATCAGTTTTTCTTAAGATTATTCTGAAAATTGGGGAATGACCCACCTGTGGAATTCCACCTGACAGCCACGTTGACCTATGGAACTCAATACCACAAGATGGGGCAACAATCATTACTCTTTTGAACAGACATAAAGGGAAGCAAGGTAGAATCATGAAGAAGAAGGTTGTCAGCATTTACAGGCAAGATGGCCCTGTTTATCTGTATTTATCTCCTGGTGGGAATTGGGAAAAGTGACATTTTGGGCTATAACTCCTAGAATCCACAGCCAGCAAGATTCTGAGGGAGGCAGTCCACACTTGGTCACCAGCGTCAGGGGAAATAGTTGTTGAACAAGAAGGCAGGCGTGATATTATGCTCACATCTGCTGGTATGCTTTCCAGAGACTCTGTTGGAGATTTTTCCAACCTCACATGCTGCCTTTACTAGGCTTGGCTGGGGTGGCTGTCAATCTGTCTGGCAGTGGCCAATCATTCCTTCCCTGCCTCTGAATTGAAAGAGAGCCCCACTTCTTCTCTGCTCTGTGTCTTTCCCTCTTCTGTTGCCTATTGGAAACGGTGAGCCTGTTGGTGAAAGCAGTCATGTCTGTCAGTTTGCCGTTTGATCTGTTCAACTGTAAGTAATTGAAAACTTTTATTCTTTCTCTTACTAATGTCTCGGAATGAGTTATTGAGACTGTAAGTGCCCGATTAGAGTGAGTTACTGAGACTGTAAGTGCCTGATGGGTGACAAAAAGGGGTGGACTAATCTGGGGGAACATGAAGCTATTCTGCTCTGTGAATCCCTGTACTTCTGCTGCACAGCTAGAGGAATTTAACCAAAAATTCAAAATTCTGTAAACAGACACCAGATGGGTCACTGCAGGAACAGAACTCTGGACTAAATAGACCATTGGCTTCATTTTCAAACAACTCCGAAGAGCCCATAGGGTAACAGCAAGGTAGCCAGAAGGAACCACCCTAAGCTATTCTGCTCTGTGAATCCCTGTACTTCTGCTGCACAGCTAGAGGAATTTAACCAAAAATTCAAAATTCTGTAAACAGACACCAGATGGGTCACTGCAGGAACAGAACTCTGGACTAAATAGACCATTGGCTTCATTTTCAAACAACTCCGAAGAGCCCATAGGGTAACAGCAAGGTAGCCAGAAGGAACCACCCTAGAACTGCTCTCCGAAGAGCCCATAGGGTAACAGCAAGGCAGCCAGGAACCACCCAAGAACTGCTCAACCTGTGAGCTTCAGGTCCTAATGGTACCTGGAGCTGAACAGAGGCTTTTTATACTGCTGTCCTGAGACTCCTCCCATCCAGGCTCCACCCCCTTCCCAGCAAGAGGGAAGCCTTAAAGGAACATCCCCTTTACAGCGATGTATGCTGCTAACCATGTTGCACCAGCTCTCTGGATTTTGGGGCTCCTGGACAAGGAGATTGAGGGCATGTCAAGAACCCAACCTCCTTGTGGTTGATATTTGCAAGTACAGAACGATTCACCCTCCATCAAACGACACATTTAACACAACACCTGGTTCAGTCTTAAGAATCAGGATATAAACAGAAGAGAATGGGGTCTGGGGACTCTAATTCTGCTGAGGTGCTGAATCTGTCCCAGGACTTACCTGAGTTTTACAGGACCTGCTGAAGCCTATCCCCTCCCCCCCCCATTTACAGGACCTGCTGAAGCCTATCCCCTCTCCCCCAAAACGGGCTCAGCACCTCAGACAGCCCTCTTAAAGTTCTGACCAAAATCCGGAGCAGAGCCAGCAGCTTCTGGATGTCAGGCAAAGCAACGAAATCTCAAGGCAGCCGTTTGCCGGTGTCTTAATCACTTTTGACTCGCATACATTTGCATTCGGATGAGCCGAAATACCAAATCGGAGGGTGAGGAATGTCGCTTTTATTTTTTAAATGACAGGCGCAAATGTCAAAGGAAGCAACAGGTTGGAAAAAGGATTCCCTTTGGTGTGAGGGTGAGGGGAATGGCAGAATGCCGCACCTCAGAAAAGTGCTTTGCCATCTGGCCGTGTTGCAAGCGCTTTATGCTACAAAATGAGCCATGGGTTCAACGAAAGAAAGAAATCCACTGTCTGATTTTTGGGGACAATGCCACTTCCTTCTAAGCTCAGAGCCGGAACTTGGACAGGTCTGGGGGTCGATGTAACTTGACTCTCGAGTTCTCTAGGCGCGACAAAAGCAAGCTGCAAGCATTCAGACATCCACTTCTGGTTTGAGAAACAGGGTTTATTTGGTATTCAAGCAAAGCAAAGTGTGCTGCTCACCCCCATAGTGCTTTTTTGGGGACAATGCCACTTCCTTCTAAGCTCAGAGCCGGAACTTGGACAGGTCTGGGGGTCGATGTAACTTGACTCTCGAGTTCTCTAGGCGCGACAAAAGCAAGCTGCAAGCATTCAGACATCCACTTCTGGTTTGAGAAACAGGGTTTATTTGGTATTCAAGCAAAGCAAAGTGTGCTGCTCACCCCCATAGTGCTTATACAGAAAAAGCAAAGTGTGCTGCTCACCCCCATAGTCTTATACAGAAGTGAGTATACCCCCTCACATTTAATAAATGTTTTAGTATATCTTTTCATGTGACAACACTGAAGAAATGAAATTTGGCTACAACGTAATGCAGTGAGTATACAGCTTGTTTAGCAGTGTAAATGTGCTGCCCCCTCAAAATAACGCAACACACAGCCATTAATGTCTAAACCGCTGGCGACAAATGTGAGGACACCCCTAAGTGACAAGGTCCAAATGGGGCCCAAGGAGCTGTTTTCCCTCCCTGATGTCAGGAGTGTCCTCACTTTTGTTCCCAGCGGTTTAGACATTAATAGCTGTGGGTTGCGTTATTTTGAGGGGAGAGCACTTTTACACTGTTATACAAGCTGTATACTCACTGCATTACGTTGTAGCCAAGTTTCATTTCTTCAGTGTTGACACATGAAAAGATACACTAAAACATTTATGAAATGTGGGGTGTACTCACTTCTGTGATATACTGTAGCTCTCTCTGGGTGGTTTACAACTTCAATTAGGCTACACATAATTAGCCTCCCCCCTCCTCCTGGCGTCTCGTTTTAGTGACCTCAGAAGGGTGGAAGGTTGAGACAACCTCAAGCCGGCTACCTGAGTCTGTTGGGATCGATCTCAGACCACGAGCAGAGTCTTATGGGCTGATGAAAAGTGGGCTCAACGTCAACCTTAAAGCAGAGAAAAGTCCGTTTTTGCCCCCAAGGACACCACAGGCTGGACTACCTCCAGAAATGCAAAACAAGATAGGTTGAGGTCTCTGGCTGCGGACCTTGAGGTTGGGAGTTCGATTCCCTGACTGGTGTCTCCTGGAAAGGGGCTGGAATAGATGACCCACAGGGTCCCTTACCGCTCTAAGGTCAAGGTTATTAAAAGCTTCTCAAAGATAGCTCCTGGATATACTGTATACCAAAGTAAAACATGGAATTCTCATTCCAGAGGGAGCAGGTAAAATCCAGAAGATTTCGACGGCTTCTCTCTTCTCTCTCTTTCCCCACCTTTGCTGAGGCAGCAAGTGAGAGAAGGTGTGATTTTGATGAGGAAATTCTTCAACCTCCTTTTTATTCCCTCTGCTTCCTCGAAAAACCTGTGTGTGTGTCTTTGGAGCCCTGTAACTGAGAGGGGCTGCCTCTCCCCATCTCTCTCCCCCCACAACAAACACACATATGCTTTCCCCGCACAGTCCTTGGTTGCCACACATGGGCCTCCACGGTCACGCTGAGCTTTCCAGAGAAATCAATGAGCAAATAACACCGTGGACGGGTGCTGGAGGCTGGAAAGGAACAGAAAATCTACCCGGGGAAGCCTGCATCAATTTACAGGAGAAACAGAAACAGGGGGGTTTGGAGCCCTGTTAAGTGCCCCCCATCATTCGTCATGAGCTGCTGCCCGAGACTTTCCGAATAAGGGAAATGGAATGAAAAGGAGATGAATTTGACACGAGTCATCACCATTTATTATGTGCAGCACAAAAGTGCAGTGATTTAAATGCATGCTTCTCTATATCCCAATAAAGGAGAAGCATCATGGATGGGGGGAAAGGCTCCCCACCCCATTCCCCCGCCATGGCCCAGGCCTGCCGGCAATCCACACACTGTGGAGGGGGGAAAAACACATCATCCCAAATCCGGTTGCCTATTAATGCTCGCCTAAGGGAAAGGGCGTGATTTCGGGGGGGGGCGTTGCCACTCATTAACGAGGTGCTGGTCGCGCTCTTGGCCCTGTGTGCCATCACGCTCTCGGATGCATGACCAGGAACGCGATGAGCACCTCATTAAGGAATGACAATTTGCCACCAAGACTTGCGTGACTTCTCTTACGCAAGTGCACATCATTGATTAGGGTTTCTGGCTGGCTGTTCATGTCGCACCGTCCTAGTTCCCGTTTCTGCCCATGACCCCTTTTATTCCTTTGCTCGATTGGTCGGCCGACACTCCCCCTTTCTTCCAGAAATGGGATCCAAGGCACCTCAGCATATAATTAAAAATCAGAAGAGATAAAAGGCGCGGTGACGTGATCAAGAGATAGAACCACAAGGAGACCAGTTGTAATATCCAAACGCAGTGAAGTCCCAGACAATTTCAATGTATCTCAATTAAAATAATGCTAATTAAACTTAAACATAAGGGAAAAAAGTGCAGCGCCTCTGTTAAAAAAAAAACCTGTCCTTAGCAGGCAGGCAACTGCCAAAGGCTGGCCAGTTTGAGATTAATGGGGGAGGCAGACAGCTGAGTCTCCCTTGGAAGAAAAATCTGTAATCTGGGAGGAGCAGAATCTCTGAGGCTTGCTCGGGTCCTCAATTAATGCACCTCCAGAAGTTTCCCCAGAAATGCATGTATATGTACACACAACCCTCTCACAGACATGAACACATGTCACTCTTGGCTGTCACTGGCACAGACAAGTGAAGAAGACCCCCTGATACTTCTATTTGGGTTAGAAAATCAGCAACGAGGGGGAGATGCTGGAGGACCATTCGTGGTTCCTGCTCCTGAATTTCTGTTTTAAATTAGGATCAGGAAAACTCGAATTCAAGTCCTCCACTCTGCCACAGAGGTTCCCGGCCCGTCGCTGGCTCTCAGCCCGGCCTTCCTCACAGATTTATGCTGAGGAAAACACGGGACAACAGCCATGGAGCTTCTTGGACGTGAGGTGGAACCAAAGGAGAACCAGCTGCATTCTAAAGGCTAGCAGGTTTATATATACAGTATACAGTGGTGCCCTGCAACACGATGTTAATCCGTTCCATTGAAATCGCTGTTTAGCGAAAACATTGTCTTGCGAAAAGCGTTTCCCCATTGGAATGCATTGAAATCCGTTTAATGCATTCCAATGGAGAAAATAGTCATCGCTGTGCGAAAATCGCTCATAGGGAAGCCATTTTGCAAAGCGCCGATCAGCTGTTAAAATTGTCGTCTTGCGAAGCATTGGTCCCGGGAAAAAAAGTCTTGCGAAGCATGGACCGAAACATCGTATAGCGAAAATAGCCCATAGGAAACAATGTTTTGCGAAGCACAATGACGATTGTAAAACCTAATCGTCATGTGGATTTGTCGTTTTGCAGGGTAATCGTCTTGCGAGGTACCACTGTATACATATATATTGGCACCCTGTAGAAGGCTGGCAAAAGGGTGGGTGAGCAAGAGGGTGGAAAACAGGGGAAGAAAAAGGCCTTCGGATCAAGCTTTTCCCCACTCACCTGCCAAAACCCCTGCGAGGTAGAGAAAACTGATACGGAGGATGCCGTGGACCATTTCGAGGGGCACCCCGATCATCAGCTGCAAGAGAGCATTGAACCCCAGTTGTTCCAGCCTGGAAAAAATGGAAGGAAGGAAGTCAGTGCAAAGAGATGGAACAGCCCACGTTCAGCTCAGCTTGGCTTTAAGGCTCCAGTCGTTTATCCGGTATTGGCCACCCCGCTAGGGTTTTCCTCTAACAAGCGATGGCTGAAATCCAGGAGGAAGTTGCAACGAGAGTAGACCCCTCAAACTAGAGGGGACTGGCTGAGCCAACATCTCTGCAAGTTTTCCCCCAATTCAATGGGCCTACTCTAGTTGCGACTTACCACTGGAGGGGAGGGGGCAGAAGACACGAGCGATACATACCCCACGTGCATGAACATGTAAGTGAGGAACCTCCAGGCGCGGGCTCGGTGTCCAGGGTGGTAGACCAGGGGGCTCTTCATGTACTCCGGGTGGTATGTCTGTAGCACCCACTTGTTCAGCCGGGCCCCGTAGCAGAGGAAAACGATGATCTAACACAAGAGGGAGATGATAAGACTAAGGCTGTCTTAGGGTCTGTGTGCGGTTTCCTCTTCCAGAGATGGAATTAAAATACAAATCCAATACAACCAACTGCACTTTGAGAAGGGCTTCCTCAGAAATGTGAAAGTCCGTGTTTTTTTAAAAGCTTAAATAATGGAACTGCCTGTGAGATGGGGGGGCAGGGAAAATAATTTTAAAAAATACATTAAGCAATTTAAAAAAAAGATTCATGAGATGGCAGAAAGACTTACAGGACTATCTCAAAACACCTTCCCACGGTGCCTGAGTTTTTACATTCCGTGAGGGCTAAATTTCCACATACGCCTCAGTTCCTAGAATCACAGAATTGAAGAGTTGGGGAGGATCTCTCGGGGGGGGGTCGTCTAATCCTCGCCATGACGTATGAGCGCTAATTAGCAGATTCCTGTGAAAAGAGGTCTTCCAGTCCAGGCTTTATTTGCATAAATATGCTTGTATGTATTTTGGGTCCGAATGTGGCGTGGGGGGAAAGCAGGCCACCTCTCTGCATACACACCTAGACACACAAACGCACCTGGGTCAGGGTGACAACCGCCATGAAGACTGGTGGGGGACAGGCACGGTGCTGGTAAAAGTACCATCGCCGGTCCATCTCGCAAGGCAGGATCTCGTAGGCCACGTAGCGCACAAAGCGCTTGTAGAAGCCCAGACCGGTCTCGTCCAGAAGGCCATCGCGAGGTAAGGCCCTCTGGCCATTGGCGATGGCTCGCTTGAAGCTGCTGGACCGCTTACTGCTGATCTGAAAGGAGAGAGAGAGAGTAAGAAAGGGGGGGGACATCAAATGGCAAGGAACAACCCAAACATGCAGCGTACAATGCGCAGTATAGTAGGGCCCCTATGTCTGCATGGGATTGGTTCCAAGCCCTGCCTTCCGCGGATGCGGAAATCCGTGGATAACAGCAAACCCTATCAATTGCATCATCTCTGGTTCCCTCTACTGGCCAGTTCTGGTAATGACATTGTGGGATTTTTTTTCTTTTAATGTTTTAAATAATTTCTAGGTTGCACATAAGTGAAACTGTGGATACCGATCCCATGGATGGGGGGGGGTCCTCCTGTGCTGGAAAATGGGCTAACTGATGCTTGTGTGTATAGGCTAGTAAAAATGGTAGCAATGTATCATGTGTGCATGCATATATTTAGCCTCACAAAGGGAAATAACGAGTTTCCCATAGAAGCAGAAGTTTTGCACAAACCGTATTTTGCAGAAATTGTAAGCCTTGTGGGGGGAGACCACCCTTCAGCATCCCTTCAGCACCCTTCAGCATCTCCAGGCACTGAGTCCATTAAATCGTGGGGGGGATGGGCTGGCCTTCTTGCCTCGCCCCCCCCCCGTGGGCCAAGCTCACAGCCGGGGGGGTGGTGGCACGTGGACAAGGCTGGCGTCTTGCCCCGGAGCCACGGAAAACGAGCAAGGGCGAAAAGGGAGTAGCCACGGAAGACCCCGCTCCCTGCAATTTCTCCACCTCCTTTTCTTTTGTTTTTAAAAACTCTCCCTCGTTTTTAAATTTCCTTACATTTTATTTTTTAAGAACTTCAAAACAAAAAGAAAGTTATCTAATAGTACAAAAATATATATATACAAAACTGAAAAAGCCAACAGTAACAAAACCAACACAAAGTGTTCAATGACACAACAAGGACTCCATCTACCCGGATCAATCAAGAGATATTGAATCTATTTTTCCCCATGATGAAGCCCGCTTCCCCTTCCAAAACTGATTCTTTCAGAGGTACCCCACCTTTCCCTTTATCATTAAATAATCAATGAAAACTTCCCAAACAGCACTGAAGATGTGCTTCTTTATCACATCCTTTTAAACCTTATCATTGGAAGTTAACATTAACCTTCCATAATTCTACCAATCATTCAACTGAAATTCGTGCTTTAGCTTCCAATTCTTTGCTATTAACTAATCTTGCAGCCGTGATTCAATTTGTTATTAATTCTTTTACTGCCCAATCCCCATTGTTCCTTATCAAATATTAATGAAAGTGCTATTCTGAGGACTTGCTTCTACATTTAACTTTGGTATTTCATTAATTTCCTTAAAAAACCAACCTCCAAAATTTCAATACGTGCTCACATTCCCACCACATATGGGGTGGACGAGTGCCTTTGGAAATTGGATTTCGAAGCATGCTACACCAGCAGGGCTGAGCTGCGAAGATTACTGGACCGTTTTTTGGCACTGAGTAGAGCCAATTAAGGAGAATTGATTGAATATTAAGTATTCAACAACGAGCCATCGGAAGAGATTTAATCCTTTTTAGCAAGGAGTTTGGGGAAAAGATAAGTAGCGAATACCCCACATTGCCTCTTTAATCAAACCACTGTCTCTTTGTTCCCCCCATGATTCAAAGTCTTGCAAATTCTTTAACACCAGTAATTTACTTATTTTTGGATCTTCTCTTAGAAGAAACTAGAAAAGATCATCAAGTGGAAGGATGTGTAACTGGAGACTGAGACTAAGATCATCCACACTCTTGTACAGTGGTGCCTCGCTAGACAGTTACCCCGCATGACAGTTTTTTTGCTAGACATTGACTTTTTGCGATCGCTATAGCGATTTGCAAAACAGTGATTCCTATGGGGGAATTTTGCTTGGTCCCTGCTTCACACACCGATTTTCGCTAGACGATTTTGACAGCTCCCTCCGTGCTCGCAAAACAGGTGTTTTCGGGCCCTAAGCTTCGTAAGACAGCGATTTAAACAGCTGATCGGCGGTTTGCAAAGCGGCTTTCCTATGGCTGATCTTCGCTAGACAACGACAGTTCTTCCCCATTGGAACGCATTAAACAGGTTTCAATGCATTCCGATGGGGAAATGCTTTTCGCTAGACAATGATTTCGCTAAACAGCGATTTCAGTGGAATGGATTGTCATCGTCTAGCGAGGCGCCACTGTATTTCTGATCACCATGTATGGGTCTGAACGCTGGAGGGTGAAGAAAGCTGACAGGGGAAAAAAATAGGAGATGGACTTAAAAGGTTGCACTCAAGGAGAACGTTATGAATACTCTGGATCTCCAGGAAGATGAACAAGTGGGACTGAGATCCAATCATGCCTGAACTATCTTTGAAGGCAAAACTGACGAAGTTGAGGCTGTCCTCCTTCGGGCACATCTTGAGAAGGCAGGAGTCTCTGGAAAAGACAATAATGCTAGGAGAAGCTGAAGGCAGCAGGAAAAGAGGAAGACCCAATACGAGATGGACAGATTCCCTAAAAGAAACCACAAGCTTGAGTCTGCAGGAGTTGAAGGGGGGCAGTTGCAGACAGGACATTTTGGAGATGGCTTATTCATAGAGTTGTCATGAGTTGGAGGTGACTTGATGGCACTCAACAACAACAACAACAACAACAACAACAACAACAACAACAACAACAACAACAGATGTTCTCAGGGATTGCATCCCCCCTCTGGAACTTTATGAATACTCTGGACTTCCAGGAAGATGAACAAGTGGGACTGAGATCCAATCATGCCTGAACTATCTTTGAAGGCAAAACTGACGAAGTTGAGGCTGTCCTCCTTCGGGCACATCTTGAGAAGGCAGGAGTCTCTGGAAAAGACAATAATGCTAGGAGAAGCTGAAGGCAGCAGGAAAAGAGGAAGACCCAATACGAGATGGACGGATTCCCTAAAAGAAACCACAAGCTTGAGTCTGCAGGAGTTGAAGGGGGGCAGTTGCAGACAGGACATTTTGGAGATGGCTTATTCATAGAGTTGTCATGAGTTGGAGGTGACTTGATGGCACTCAACAACAACAACAACAACAACAACAACAACAACAACAACAACAACAACAACAGATGTTCTCAGGGATTGCATTCCAACTCTGGAATTTTCTCTCCCAGAAAAGTTTGTCAAATATTTCTTGATTTATTTCTTACACATACAGGTGTTCATATCTGTGCTTCTGAACTACAACTTTGCTTCAAACAATTAAATGGCTACCAAGGAAGGAGCTTTAATTGGGGATTTGTCTTTTTTTTCCAAAATCTTATAAATGTGTGTTTAAATGGTTTTAAAAGGGATTTTATTTGGTACTTTGTAGTGATGAACATGTTTGATGGCTCTATCATTTATTGTATTTTTCACTTCCTGTTTTTCCCCCATGTTTAATTCGTTTAAAAATTCTCAACTTCCTTCCGTTCTGAATGTAAAGAAGGTTGACAAATTTGGGAAGCTTCTTAAAACTGTACTCACATCGTCCCTGGTCCCTAATGGCTTCTCTTTCTTGCCTAATGCAGGTTAAACAGCTAAATGCTTGGATAATTTATCATTTTATGCACATGAGGGATTATGGTTAAGTGAGCCCAAATAAGCCAGGATCGTAAGCTATTTTGAAAACCAGAGAGAAACGCTAAACCAGGATAACGGAAACTCTGATTTCAACTCCCATTGTAGTTAACCATGATGAGGGACGATGTACAAAAAATATGCAAAAACGCAGAACGGATCCTGTCCCTCCTCTCTAGACCTCCCCTTTAAGTGTTTGTAAAGTGCTGTCTATCTCCCGTCAATCTTCTTTTCTAAGGCTAATCATGGCCAGTTCTTTCAGCCTTTCCTCCCAGGGCTTGGTCTCCAGGCCCCCGAAAGCCCAGCCACAATTTACGTTTTAAAAGTCCTTTCTCAGCTCTGGGAAACACAGTGGACAGCATGTGGCAAGTTATAGGGAGGCAGCCACGGTGTGGCTGCCGGTACTCACGCCACTGACCAGGTCTACCAGCTCCTGATAGCAGATCTGTCCTTCATCGTTGCTCTGGGCCAACGCCACCAGCATCTCCAGCTTCGCCGGGTCCAGAGGCAACTCATGGCTGTGCACCAGACTGGCAAAGGTCTCCACACCAATGAAACCAGTGTTCTCGGGATCAAGCTGGGAAAGAAGGCAAGGATGAGTCCAGTGGCAATGAGTACCAAGGTAAACGTCAAGGTTCCCCTTGACAATTTGTCCAGTCGTGTCCGACTCTAGGGGGCGGTGCTCATCCCCGTTTCCAACCCAGAGAGCCAACGTTTGTCTGAAGACAATCTTCCGATCACTTTCCGTGCAGCGGATGTTCAGGCTCCAGTATACAGAAACAGACCCAAGAGTATAGGGGAAAAAAAGTTACTGAATATAACTCAACCTAAGGAGCTGGGACAAGTGACGGGGGCTCCCTTGTTCCTGTCCTGTCCAACTAAGCAGGGGGTTCTCTGAACGCACGAGGAGACCACTTCGTGTGCATTCCGATCACTTTCTGTGCAGCGGATGATCAGGCTCCAGTATACAGAAACAGAACCAAGAGTATAGAAAAAAAAAAAGTTACTGAATATAACTCAACCTGTTTCCCAATGGGGTTTTCTTCCCCTGCTGCTTTCTGCCTTATAGGCAGGGCGTGGGAGCAACCTAGAGTTAGGATCCCAGCCGGGGAGGCAGCTTTAAATCTCTTTTCCGTGTGCACTTCAGCTCCAGTTCAAAAAAAAAAGCAAAAGCCAAAATCACGCACCCCGTTCTTTGCAGGGGGGGGGAAATGCATGTAAGGATATAAAAAGAATCACGTGAAATCAGACCAAACATCTGTTGAGTTCGGGGTTGGATTCTGGGAATCCCACCAGCAGGGTGTGAATGCAATGGTTCTTGGCGCTCCTGGTGCTGGAGGGAACACATTTGCCCTATACACACGCTAGCTGGTGTGTAGGCTACTCCAGTGTATAGGGGAGCATCATAGCTTTGCCCCTTGGCCCCCTCCACTTCCCTTTGCCCTCCAACACATGGAATGCAAAGGGTCTGAAGATGGGCACGGTTCCTAGTTTTACCCACTTCTGCCACATCCCCTTCAACTCATTTTTACCTTCTAAGCTAGGCAATTCCAAGTATTGTAACTTTTCCAGGAATTGTCCCACTAACTTTCTGAACTTTTGCAACCTTGCATCCTGCTTGTAGTTCTGTTTGACTGAGAGGGACCTTTCTGGGCTGGCTTGACTGTCAATCTGTCTAGGACGAACCAATCATTCCTTCCCACTTCTGAATTCAAAGAGAGCCCCGCCTCCTTTCTGAGTGTTTCTTTCCCTCTCTTTGTGGCCGGCAGCACTTGTGCTGTTGATCAGTTCAGTTGGTTCCCAGTATATGTGCAGTAAAGAAAGCAGCATGTGCAAGGTTGCAATTTCAAGTAATAATAAGTAAAGAAATGTTTTTATTCTTTCTCCTACAGGTCTCTCAATGTGAGTTACTGACACATTAAGTGCCAGTTAACTGGAAATGGCGGGCTTAGGGGAACTTGTAGCTATTCTATTACACAGCAAGAGGGAATTTTACCAGAAATTCAAAACTCTGCAACGTTTCCAGCACAAGTAAATTATTTCAAGGAACTTTAGGAGATCTCCCTGCCACCGCTCCTCTTAAGGCACTGGGAACAAAACGAATTTCGCTCCTCAATATCTCATAGGAATCTCAGGATTAAAATAGCTCTTATTCAGAAGCACTTAGCAAAGAAGAGCGCCATAACGTGTGGTTCTTCACTCCGTATCTTGCATTTAGTCATGCTTTGTTTTGCAACTAACATTGCAGACTGCACTGCTGAGGCCTGCATTTCTGATAAAATCCCATTCCTGGAATGAAAAAAAAAACCTTATTAACCATGGTGAATGGCGGATTCTCAGTATTTGCTTACCCCACAGCTTTAAAAAAAAACTGAGAAATTTGGAAACTTTTGGCTATGAAATTACCGCTAAACAGTACTGTTACTTCCAAAAGACATTACCTGCAGATCATCAAAACAAACCTCTCTTGGAATGCGTTCCCATGCTTGTGTTTCGGGGGGGTGGTGTTGGTGGAAATCATAAGATTGTTAAGGGAAAGACAGCTGGGCATCCTCTAAAGTTCACCGCGTGGCCCAGGGGAAGACAGCCTGGGAGTTCAGGAATATGGCAAAACTAGTACGACATAATTATTTTACAAAGATTATTATCTCTGTCATCTTATGGCCCGAGGAAGGAGGGAGAAAAAAGCCACAAGTACAGCCGGCGATGTCATTGAGAGGAAGGCCGGACGAAGCTGGCAGGAAGAACAGACAGAAAAGTTTCCCAGAAATGTTCTCCGCAGCCGTTTCCTCCCAAGCAAAACCTTTATGCTCAGAGGCAGCTTCTGGACCTTCATGCGTTTCGCAGCACAAGAAGTGGCCAGAACCAGTTTAGGGAGAACTAGAACCCTTGGTATCTTGAGTTCTAATGCGGGAAGCTTAATGCTTGCACACCTGTTGGGTTGCGTGCCAATTTCCCCCTCGACACAGCTTGCCCGAAGCCCACGAGCAAGCATGTGCACTCAAAGGCACCCCCCGGTCCATACTGACCCCCCGCAAAAGACTACAAATGGTTTCGTGACTCAGTAGGATTCGGCTTTCTCAACCAGCTTTCCGAAGCGACCATCTTGTTTTCGCTGTGTTTGATTTTTCAGTCTGTCACAGCTTTCTCCTGCAAACAAGACGCACATATTTTCGTCCTCTATTTACTGACACCTTTCAAGGACTGTTTATCCGTCATGTCATTGCTATAGCAATGGAGAGCACAAGAAGACCCTTTCGGGACTCGCTCAGGATTTCCACAGCGACGAACCGATTGGCGACCGGTGCTGGTTACCAGCGTGGCAGCCTCTTCCCCATCCTGCGACTCAGCCACTTACACCAGAGCCGCATACTTCTCCGGTACTGATGGGCTGAGGCATAGCCGAGAAGGGTTGAAGTCCCAGGACCTGATGCAGGGGAGGGACATCATCTGCCAACCACGCTTCCCGCCTGCAAGGCATTCCCTGTTCCCTCTGAGCTTAGCCGCAATCCCGACAGTAGCTGGAAACGCTGCAAGCCATTCCTATCGGGATTCAAAGCATTTGGAGGAAGTTTGGTCTCGAATGGGCCATTAAGAGCCACAGGCTTTACAAAAGACCCGCTCTGCATTTCTTGATATGGACCAGCCCAGCTGCCTGCAGTTTTTGGTACTCTGATCAGGCTGGTGGTGGGAAACCACACGTCCATGTTTACCATAGGAGGAAAACACAGCTGTCATGAAAAGTATCTAAAAACGGAGTGTGGGGGCATGGTGGGCCATATAGTCCATCCAGAAGAGACCAGAGGTAAATCCCTCATATGTTGCTGGAATCCCAGTATCTCATCAGGTCCCCCTTTCTATCCCTTCTCCAGCCTTCTCATCATCTCCCTTTGAGATCTAGCTATGAGAATTCTCTGTGCAAAAAAGTAAGTGTTCCACGATTCTCGTCTCCTCTCGGAGTTGTCAGCTCTGAAAACAGAGACAATGTTCTCCCCGAAGGCTTTAGGGAGATGATGGAGGCATGGTTTATCCTGACATTACCTTCATTTGCCCTCTATCGCCACCTGAACCGGAATCCTCCTCCAGTCAAAAAGCAGGGGAGCAGGGAGGAAACAGGGACGGTGACTCGTCTCACCGAATCTTTTGATTTCTCAAAGGGATCATCGTGTCCCCCAGCGGCTGTTTGACAACGCGGGGAAAGTGGCCGCCTATCAAACAGACTCCGGCCACCTTGGGAGTAACATGTTCAGCCGAACACACAGATGCTAAAGCATTGCTTTTATATTAAGCGGGAGGAACGCAGCTAAACTTTTTTTTAAAAAATAACGCTTTCGAATGACCATTCTAAAAATAAAAACATGATTTCGAAATGTTCCTGTTTTCCAACCGCATCGGTTGACTTCTCGCCCTGCTAGCACAAAGCCGATGTGCGAACACCAGGGAGATATTTCCAAGCACTCACCAAGCCTTTATTCCATCAAACTCCGTATTAAACTGACCAACAGCGGCTTTCTAGGGTTTGTTGGTTTTTTTCCAGGCAGGGTGCTCTTCCAGCCTGACTTCTGGACGTCTGGAATTGAACCCAGGACCTTGAGAGGAGAAGGCACTGATTCTAGCGCTCTGGGATCGGCCCTGGCTTTCTAGCATGCCATGGGTCGCAGCCTGGACAATTACGTTTCCAGGTTGCAGGCACTTGGGATAAAACAAGGGCCAACATTGGATAAAACAAAGTTTTAGCCAAAACATCGTCACCATATGCCATCATATTATAATCCTGATTTAGGGTGATCCTTCTCAGAGTTTTCCAGGTAGAAATGACTCAGACATGGTTGACCATACCCTTCTTCTGGGGCTAGTCCTGGAGACTGTGCAGCTGGCCCAAGGCTACCCAGGCTGGCTCTACTCACAGAAGACCCAGTGGGAGAATTGAACTCCCAACCTCTGGCTACGCGGCAATATACCTAAAACCATCTGTTGTTTTTTTCTTCTTCAAGTTTTCTGTGTTGTTGTTGTTGTTGTTTGCAACCTCGCATGCTACCTTTAGTAGGTTTGGCAGAGGGAGTAACTGTCTGGGCTGGGGTAACTGTCAATTTATCGAGCACTAAGCCATTGTTTCTTACCTGCCTCTGAATTAAAAGAGAACCCTGCATCTCTGCTCAGTGCTTTTTCCCCTTCTAGAGTCTATTGAAGTCTGTTGCTGAAAGCAGTCATGTTCGTCAGTTTGCTGTTTGAGCTCTCCAATGGTAAGTAACGACGTCTTTTATTCTTTCTCTTACTAATGTCCCAGAGTGAGATTGTGAGTACCAGTTGACGAGAAAAGAGTGGACTAACCTCAGGAACTTGAAACTATTTTGCCCTGTGAATCCTTACACGACTAGTGTGCATCTAGAGGAATTTTAAGCAGTAATTCAAATCTTCGGAACAGCTTTTCCAACCAGGAGCAGGATGTGACCCCCTCCACAGGAGCGGAGGAAGCTGACGTCAGCTAGCCTTGCCTGAAGAGAAAGGTCTTTGCCTGCTTGCGGAAGGACAGCCAAGATGGGGGCCAGCCTGGCCTCCAGTGGGAGGGAGTTC